AAAACGAAAAAAAAAAACGACACTCTATTGAACACTAATATAGAAAATAACAGGAAAAAGACAAAATAAATGAAAATAGCCTGCTTGCGGCCAGCGCCTTTATCGACGGTATTGCACGCGCCCTTGGTACTGAAGATCTTCTCACCGGATTTGAAATCGCCTGGCAGAGTTTCAAACGAAGGACGCCATTAAAGAATGCAAGGAAAACCTAATAAGGGGATTTGGGCATTGAAGAAAAGCAAAAGTGAAACAAGATTTTATCGATTTCTAAAAGGACTTACAGGCGAGAGCAAGATTATTAATAATGGTAGCGTGCGTTGGGCAGCGGGCACGTGGATGAAATTACGATTTGCCCTTAGTCTTGTCAAAATGTTAAAGCTGTAGTTGGGCCTACCCTCCCTGTTCTCCATTCTCAAGTCTCGGCCTGCGGCATGGGTCTATATGTTTATTCCAATTTTTTTTATTTTTTTTTCTCTATAAATATACTACTAGGTGAAACAGGATTATGCACAATTTTTGTAATAATTCCGATAAATTTCGGGAAGGAATATCGTCCGACCAGTAGGGGTGTTCACGGACCGGATTTGTCTAGTTTTATCTTAAACCATGACTAAATCGGACCTACCGGTTAATTTTTTTTTTGTCCATAGCCGTACGGGTTTTATTTTTTAACCGGCCACAATTCGGACCGCATTGGACGATCCGGTTTGGCGGTTAACCGGTTAAATCCAAAATCCTTGTTTTGGGTCTTCAATTTTATTTTTTTTTTTTCATTTTGGGTTTAATTTTTGTTTGTCAATTTTGGTCACAAAAGAGATTATTTGGGCATAAAAATTAAGAAAAACAACAATAATGAAACAAAAAATACACAATTTGTCTCATAAGCATAAAAATGCACATTTCGTCCCAAAAATTAGGAAGAGGGGGTGGAAAAATTTGAAACTAAAAAAACGAATGTGGAAAAAAGTGAAGTTATAGTGTTTTACAAAATTAAGTTAACAAAAGGCCAAAAAGTAAAAGTGAATATATTGTATTTGTCGGCCATAGTGAATGACTGAATGTATATATATATATATATATTTGTTATGATTTTTTAAAATTAACCGGTCCGGTTAAACCTGCGGTTTGCCGCAGGTAATCCGTTAACCGGATCGGTTATTTCGGATTTTTAAAAAAATTAACCACCGAATTTTTTAAGACTTTTTTAACCGACCATTTAACCGATCCGCGGTCCAGATTGACGGTTTTTTTTTGTTAAAACCGGACCTGAACAACCCTACCGACCAGGTCTTTTTTTTTTATTTTTCGTGCCGAGCTGCCAGCTGTTGAATGCGGGCGGCTCAAAAACCGACCGGCTTGACTTTACCAGACGTTGCCAATATGGCGGCCAAAGCTGGCGGCCAGGCCATTCCTGTCCAAAAAGTGCGGCCGGCTGGACCTACCCTGGCTCTGTCGTCAGCACGGCTGGTTCTGGACAGCCCGGCCTTGTTTTTTGTTTAATTTAAGTTATATTAAAATTATATTAGTATAATTAGTATAAATTATAATAATATAAAATATAATTAATTATAATAGAAAAAAATTATAAATTTAAATGTGCAACCCTGCATGCCTTTCAAAATCTGTATTTTAATTTTTTTACTGTGCATGGCAAAATGACCCCCTACTTTAATTTAATTTAATTATTGTTCGGGGGTTATTAGGGTAAATTCATTCATTTATCATTTTTTTTTCTGCTATCTTTGATTCTTTTCTGAAAATATTTATTGTTCACTGACACACGCAAGTGTCCAACATGTCCAGATTTTGAGGTCTCATAATGGCATTCATGTAAATCTGATAATTTCGTTGGGTTACATTACTTTCTTTTATTTTTTTACTTTTTCTTCCATTTGTTTATTTTTTTTGTTTTGTGTGTTGTCTGAAGAAAAAAAATAAAAAATAAAAAACTTGTTTGATAATTAGCTGTTAGCGGTTAACTCTTAACGGATTCTATTAGTTATTTTGATCAGTAAATTATATTAACTATTTTGACTAGCTTGTACATTAGTGGATTATTACAAAAAGTATTTGGTAAATTAGCGTTTTGATATTTTTTTTATGTATAAAATTACTTATAACTAGTACAAAACCCGTGTATTACACGGGTGCTTGCTAATTTTTTTTCTTAAAATTTAAAATTAATAAGAAAAAGTAGTTTGAAAATTTAAATACCTTTTATAAGAATATATATATATATATATATTATATATTTATTATGATACTTTTTATTTATACGACTTACTTATGTTATATTATACTAATTTTTTAACTTACACTATATAATTACGTTAAATATAAATATATCAAATGAGAAATAATTTTATTTTTCTAATGAATTTTAATAAATATTATTATTTTTTATTATTATAAAAATAAATATATTTTATTTATTTTATATATACAATATGGATGTCAAATCGAAGATAATCAAAAGATGGTTAATTTGATATATTATATATGTAAAACCGATAAGAAATACAAAAGTTATTTACTTTTAAAATACATCTATAATTCAATAGCTTATTGAAGGAAGCAAATCAAAATTTAGGGATATATTAGTCACTTAGTGTCTCACTATGTAAAATTACAAATAATTAAAGAGTTATATTAGTAAAAGTGATATTAAAATACCTAAGTTAGCTAAATAATATTTATGGAATACCCGAACCTAGATTATTAATTATTAATATATTAATATTATTTGTCCAAACCTAATTACGAAGCATGATTTTTCGCCAAATAGGATTCCGAAGCACCAGAATCAGCCACGTAGGCTCAGTGCATTCTGTAATTATATATAGGGAGGATTAGTAATTATATATAGGGAGGATTAGTGATAGATTCTCAACTTATTAAAAGAACTGACCAACCCAAAAAGATGGAAAACCCACAATAAAATGTAGAGAATAACAACATCCACACTCAAAAGAGCATTTATGTATTGCAGTACACATAAAAATAAAATTGAGAGATTTTTTTCATTCACAAATAAAAATAATAAATATACTTTATCTGAAGCGAAAAAATGAAAATAGTAAACAAAACGATTGATTGTCTACGGGACAAAGAGTTGAAAAAAAAATAATCTATCTTCAAGAGCAATTTATTTCAAAATTATATGGTGAAACTGCAGGTTTCATTCCCCACCAATTCGCTGAAATTTTAAGAGATGATGATATAAGCAGGCAAAATAATACCGAAACAACATCTTCACCCTTAATAACACATCCGAATACGTTAATTTTTTCATTCACGCCCGGGATTGGTGCAGTTGTCATAAAAAGATCAAATCATCCACCATGGTGTTTCGTCTTGGAGGTACCCAGCATAAAGGTTTCATGCTTCAGGCTAATACACTACAAATCGATTGACATGTCTTATAAGTGAAGTTGACTTTGAGTGGAAGTGTGAATTATGAGAGATGCAAGATAATAAAGCAGGCCTTGTATCGAGCTGACTGTAATGCTTTCCCCTCGAGGCCCAATCTTCTGTACTCACGTTTATTTATATCACTTCCTTTAATGGCAAAGTTCTTTATTACACGGTTAAAGAGCATTCCTTTGAACTGCCCTTTCCGACTGTAAAATTTAGTTCTTAAGAGAAGGAACTTAAGTGATGCAAGAAAATGCTCAAAGATAATAGTGAAACTTATTTGTAGAATAATTATGGAGCAGTGTATACCATGACTCAACAAAGTCGTGATCAACTTCTGGAGAACCTTCCTTGCACAGTTCCACGGTTATTGCGCCGTTTGAGGTGATTATCACCTATTCAACAAATAATATGAGTTTAACATACTCTGAAAATAAAGAAAAACAAAAGGATGGTGAGGATTGCTATAAAAACCACACAAGAGTCAACCACATCCTGAAGAACAAAATTATGAGCAGCATACTGTCCGGTAATAATAATTTTTGTTTAATTTTCATATAAGACGATTGAATCAAAACAGAAGATCGGTAAAGTAAATGCCAGACTCAAAAGTATAAGGAGCAAAACAGTAATAAATGCCCAGGCTCATTTCTAGTAATGTATTTTTTGTCCTATCTCATGAGATCTATTCTTGTACAGTCAATAATACCATCAATAAATTAAAATGTCAAGAGAACTTACAGCACACCTGGGTAATTTAACTTTCTTTCAGTTGCCTCGTAAACTACCATGCTGCAAAAGAACAGAGAAATGATGTTAGCAATAAATGAAAAGATAAATACATAATGGCATAGTTGGTGCCTCAAAATCTAGGATTAAAATTGGCCCACAACTATTTAAGCTCTGCATTTTGATATTTTAAGATTGTTGTAATCTATAGTTCGTGCAAATAAAAATTAATCTGAGTTTGGGCCAATCAATGATATTTATATTGCTCGAGCTGTAAAGAACTGGATATTGCGTATAGAATATAGTTGCCATTTTGCCAACCAACAACATACATAACGAACTCTTCTTTGAAAATTGTAAAATAAAAATACCTGGATAAGTTTTCTTCCCTGGTTGCTATGAAGTCTAGAGCTTTAGTCCACATGAAATCCAAGTCCAACATCTACAAATATATGTCGAATATCTGGACTGGAAATTTGCACAAAAAGAATGCAATATCAAACAAGGCATTGACAGACAATCATATTACTTCACTAATCGTCTCGCATGGGACGTGACAGAGAAAAGAAGAAGGCAATAAGCGCTCAAATCAACCTATCCGCTCGCATTGTTTCATGGTATCTGCCTAATTAACGATCTGCTTCAATAGCAGGAATAGCTACTCCATCGACTAAATTAACTATATCAAGCAAATAGTTATTTTTCTTCAACTTAAAAGACGATGCAAGAGTGTACATTCATAACGCAAGCAGTATGCTTACTCATGTCATCAACTTCCTCCAAGTAGTCATTGTATTCCCTTCAAGACAGGAAATTCTTGTCTCTTTTGTTATAAATGCAAATTTCATGGTAAAGTTTTAAGTAGCTTCAAGAAACTTGATAATGCAAGGTAATTTGAGCAAATAAGTTTTTAGCATGCCCTAAGATCCATCTTAAGCCTGACCATAGCCGATAATTAAGTCAAACAGATCAACATGTAGAGGTGAGAGGCTTATCAGAAGTTGCTCCCTCAATTTCCTGGTGCAACAACAGCAGCTATTCACCTAATCATGAACTACTTAAAAGGCTTGAGAAGTATAAACATTTATGAGTGTTACTTTGAACTAATAGTCACTCTCTTCGAAAATTAATGTCCAAAATTGCAAGATCCAAAGCAACTCCAAAATCAGAGAAACAAGTATTCAACTTGTGTTGGTAATCCTCAATTCATCACAGGTACAACGCATTCCACGTGCAGAGTAACTCTAATTCACAAGCATGCATCACACATGACACGAATCAGCATATCATATAACAACAACCTAAACCCAAACTGTTCCAACTAATTAAACACAATCCAAATGACTTGCACAAGGGAAATTAACAATTCCTAAAACCTCATTTACCTTTAAGCGCAAAAATTTGAGAATTCAGATTCATAAGCGCGGAATCTGCGATGGTAGGCCTCGGCCTCCTCAATGGCTGCATAGGCATGTTGATGTCAATAATCACCACGCTGCTTTGATGTGCTGTCTCCCGGACACATATGTACTTATCAGATGCTATGGTCACATTTGTGAAAGTGATGAACTGAGGACTGATCCCTATGCCAGTCAGCTGCAATCAAAAGCATCACACTCGCCATTACTTACCTGACCTAATCACCAACTCCAAACACAAAATGCTCCAAACAGGATCTGACAGATCTAGATATTTTCAATACATGACAAAATCAACGAATAGTTGAAGAATTTTCCAAATGACCAGCAGTTTCAGTACATCCAACCAGGTAATGACACAGCCAAACGAAATAAGCCAGCTCCAAACTGAGTACGCAAGGAGATAAATTAGGGTAAAATAATAATAAAAAAGTACCGTAAGGGCCTCCTAAATGGTAATCGGAGCGTCTACATGGTAATCGGAGCGTTGGCGGCTTCCGTGACTAACGATTGATCCAATCCTCAAAATCAGAAGTCGGGATCTGCAAAAACCACCCGATTGAAGAAAATTGATCGTAGCTTCGAGAGATATTTAGGTGGACAAAGGATAAGGCTGCTTTGAGTTTTCTCTCTACTTTTTGTAAAATTTTCAGTTGTAGACTCTCGACGAAGATGAAGATGAAGATCAGGCCTCTTCCGGATCTTGATGGGACCATCAAATCCTCCATTATCGGCCCACTGTGATCTCACCACATTTAGACATAATTTACGAAACAAAACAAAAAATCATTTTTTTAACAAAAAGATAAATTTTGAGGTGGTTTTCACAGGATATTACCTTTGTTATGCGTTTTGTCACAACGGCATGGGGTATTTCCGGCGGCGGCACGTTGAAATTTTAGCGGCGGCGAGAGCTCTGCTCGTCTAGGGTTTGCAGGGCTGTTGTGAAATGGCCAAAGTTGTTGGAAAATGAGCAACGATGATTTGATCGCTTCCACTTTTTTCCCTTTGTTTGTTACCTAGCGGCAGGCGAGGAGAGAAGAAGGGGAGAGTCGGTCGGTTTAAGGCTTAAATCATCTCGGTCGTCTTCAAACCCGCCTTCTCCCGACGCGCCACCTCTCGGGTTCTAACCACCGCGCTGACCGTCGTCGCCGGGACTGTACTGTCTCCGCCTCGTCGTGTATCTTTAAATGTTTGAACTCTGGCAGCGACGACTGGGGGTGTTCGATCTGCGGATGAAGATGAATTTCTAGGTCTCTCCATGATTTTAGACCAAAAACCGAGAGTTGCAGATTAGATAAATCAAATGAGAAAGTAGGTGAAAGTTGCGTGGTGAAGGCAAATCGCAGATTTTCGGGCACCAAATCCTTTAAGCATGCGCCCACAGAAAAAGTGTTCAGGAATTGACATTGCCCCATTAACCCCCAAAAGCAGCACACTGCAGGGTCTTTTGAGTAGTTTTACATAAAGGACCGAAGAAAGTGGAAAAAAGAGGACCAAAAGGATAGGTGTCAAGCCCAGCATAACCATTCAATGTTCCCTTATATGTAAGGGAGAGACATAAAAAGAAGCACAAGGAAGTTGCACAAAACTTTTCTAGCTCATGGGAGACAGAATTTTGATCAGTACCTTATAATAATTCCTTCACAGATAGTTGCTATGCCGATGGTTGAATGCCGTCACTCATGCATCAGAACCTTATAAAAATGCTTTTGAATACTTTAAACATTTCATCTTCACATTGTTATATATCTTCCAACTTGAACACCAAGAAAAAAACTGTGTTAACAAGTTAGCCAAAATTTATCTTATTTCGCTAGCTACTTATAGATACAAGGAATGTAAGTGAAAGAATTAATATGATGAGAACCATAAGCTACAGTGCTTTCTACATTACCTTATGTATTAAGAATCTAAATGTGTGCTATCTTCCATCGTCATGTCTTCATATACCAAGTCAAGAATCTCGTGAATCTCATCTCCATGTTCAACTAACAAACAACCTGCATGAAATTCATGAAGACGGCCGTCCATCTCGATCCAGCTACATCCTGGGGTCTTAGTTACACCCTTTTGTTTAATTAACAATCTCATTCTAGCACAATCGTCCCACCTCCTCATATCAGCATATATTTTTGATGAGATAATATAGTTGCCAGAATTTGAAGGTTCCATTTCTAACAGAAGTTCCATGGCCTTTTCACCAATATCCACGTTTTTTAGCTTCTGGCAGGCACCCAGCAAAGCCCCTAACAAAATTTCGTCCGGTTTCTGTGGCATTTTCTGAATAAAGTCCCAAGCTTCATAAATCCGTCCGGCACGGGATAGAAGATCAACCATGCAAGAGTAGTGCGCAATTTTTGGAGTTAGCCCGAAAGATAAGCTCATCATATTAAACAATCTACGACCTTCATCCACCAAACCTGCATGAACACATGCAGAAAGAACCCCGACAAAAGTGATATCATCCGGACACAAAACCTTTTCCTCATCCAACATGCGTTGAAATAAGGCGATCGATTTCTGTGCATGCCCATGAAAAGCAAGTCCAAATATCATTGCATTCCAAGAAACCTGGCTTCTAAGAGGCATACTTTCAAATACGCGTGACGCATATTCCAAATTCCCACATTTGGAATACATGTCAACTAGAGCAGTAGCTACATAAATGTTACGCTGCAACCCTCTTTTGAACGCATATTCATCGATCCATTTCCCAGTATCAAGAGCTCCAACTGACGCACAAGCAGAAAGAACCGCAACCAGTGTGACTTCATTAGGTTCAGGTCCCGTCTCCATCATGTCATTGAATAATTTCAGAGTTTCATCCGACTGTCCATTTTGCGAGTATCTGTTTTCACAATAAACCCAAAATCAAACCATCAGAAACGTAGAAAAAGTACCACATGCAAGAACCTGTATTATAAAATGTGGTTAACAAGATAGGCACTGCAAATTAATGATGAACCAATAAATATATAAACAAGCTAATGTTGCATGGAGAAATATATTTACCCAGTAATTAGGGAATTCCAAATGACTAGCTCTTTCCTTTTCATGCTATCAAACACCCTTCGCGCAGACTCGAGTTCCCCACATTTCCCGTACATATTAATCAACGCAGAACCAATATATGAATTACACTCGAACCTTTTCTCAACAACATACCCCTCAATCCATCTTCCCAGGCTGAGGTCCCCCAAATCCCCACAGGCAGCAAGCACACTCACGAGCGTCATCTCATCGGGTTCAAATCCGTCCTCCCTCATCTCCCAAAACATTTCGACCGCCTTCCATGCAAACCCTAACCTCGAGTATCCCGATATCATCGAGTTCCATGAAACCATGTCCCGATCAGTCATTTCATGGAACAAGTTCCGAGCACAATCCATCTCTCTGCAATGCGAGTACATCGTGATCAAAGAATGAACCACGTGGAAATCCGATCGCAGCCCAGATTTCACAACCTCGGAATGGACAGTTTCCCCCATTCTCAGGGCTGAAATGTTCCCGCAGGATTTGAAAATGAACGGGTACGTGAAATTGTCCGGACTCACGCCAAGCGATTTCATCTCGATGAGTAATTGTAAGGCAAGGTCGAATTTCTGCCACGCAGTGGCTAACCCTCTGATCATCACGTTGAAGGCGTAGCTGTTGAGGGGGATTTGGGGGAAGAAACGAGTGGAGTAGCTGAAGTCCTTGAGGTCGATGAGTTTGGAGAGGATGTAATTGGGCATGGGCATCGCTATGGAGCGAACGAGCATCTGGGCGTGAATCTGCTGCACCGATCTTGACGATTTGCAGCGTTCGAGAAGAAGCAAGAGACGGCTGATTAGGTTTTGAGGTCGCCGGAGCTGGTTACTGGCATGGGGGGCAAATTTGGCGCGAAAACTCATTTGGATGGTGCGAGGAAGACGTATGTAGATGTTTTTTATTTTTCTGAACAAAAGTCATTATCCCACAAACAATGGAAGCTTAATGAGGATCAGACAAGGAAGGGTTTTGTTCGAAGCACTCTCGTATAGAGGAGGGATTTTAGGCAGGTTCTTGGTAGTATTTCAAATAGGTGTTGGGTGTATAAACATCAAGCCCCGCTTTATTCCTTCAAGAACAATTTTTTCTTCAGTTTTTAGTGTACATCCAATCCAAACCGAACAAGCCTCTTGGGATGTACACTCTTTTGTTAGGCCACAACAACTTGTCTGGTCAACTGCCGGCAAATTTGGGCTTCACCAGTTGTAATACCAGACTGTCTTCCGAAAAAGGTCATCCAAGTTGGGACCTGGAAAATATCAAAGACGTGTGGATACTATGCGTAAGAACTACGAACAAATCAACACCGTCAGCCAAAAGAACCATAATAGAACCGGGCAAATTAAGTTATACAAGCTGACATGCTTCACCAAGAATAGAATACAGATAGACATACAACCATGTATGCGAGCACACAACCAATAGCATAGGCGACTATTTAAGCAAGAAATGTATATTTCCAGTTTAAGAAACCAAATCTATGTGCCCCTACCGACTGAGCTGATTGAAAGAAACTCCACAATCCAAGTGACCCGATCCAACGGACCCGTATCTAGTGCAATACATCATAGATAGGCTGAAATGTGTAGCAGGAAGCAGATAAAATACCCCACAATAATCTTCTGGTAATCAAAAATCAGATTCAACATGCACTCAAAAAAAAGACACTATTGAACAGTAATATAGAAAATAACAGGAAAGAGAGAAAATAAATGAGAATACCCTGCTTGTGGCCAGCGCCTTTATCGACGGTATTGCACGCGCACTTGGTCCTGACGATCTGGCGGAGTTTCAAACGAAGATTATCGATTTCTGAAAGGTAACAGGCGGGAGCAAGATTAGGTCCTGATTTTTGATGGAAGAACTACTATGAGTCCATAGCACAGATATTAACTAATATTTATAAATTAAAAATTTGTATTAAATAATATTAATAAATTAAAAATTTGGAATCAATCTGTAATTATCTATTCTAACTTATTGAAAATGTTATGTAAAGTTTAAATTGTACAAAATTACATAAAAATGTCTATTTAAAATTATATTGGTTTCAAAATAAGTATCACTTCAAAAAATTTGTTCAGAAATTCGATTTGATTATGATGTGATTCCATAAAATAGTTCTTTTGGTAAAAAGTTACCATATATTTAACAACCTATGTAAATAATAAGTATAAATATAAAATTTATATCGTTTCATTACTTTAATATCTATTTTTTTGTATAAATTATTCAAATAAAAAAATAGTTGAGTAATATATTGAACTATTATAAATAATTAATTATTCCGCTTACGTCTAAGTTAATATTGACTCGTAAGTTAATGAATAATTTATTGAACTACAAATAATTGACTATCTCATTTACGTCCAAACTAATATTGACCCGCAAATTATGATTAATTATTTTTTCATTTTTAATTTTAAATAAAAATCTTTTTATTTTTTTCAATATATTATATACCAAATTTAAACCATGCAACTAATGAAGGTAATAGCTATAAGTTTTGTCAATATATTATACAACAACAACAACAACATAGCCTTTTAGTCTCAAGCAAGTTGAGGTATGCTAGAGATAAAACCCTTTTGAAGGAAAATCGAGACATTTTCCACATTTTTAAATCTCTATATCTCCCCAACGGAGATTCCTTTTACGAATGTTTTTTTATCACAACAATGCTCTCTAACTTCAATTTCATTTAGCAATGAGCACAATTGCAAAAAGCATATTTGAAGTTAATACATGAAAGAGCGCTGACACGAGACAGACGGAAATAATTTCAGTCCCACAAGGGCTTTGCTTTATTTACTTTACTCGTTGACATCTACACATTAAAGTATTCTTTGTTTAGTGGATGTCATATTAGTCTATTTTTTTCTCACTATGTGGGAGGTCATGTGTTCAAATCCTTTATTCTCCTTCTTTCTGACTATTTTTTTTTCTTTTGCTCCTTTATTCACAGTTTATACACATGGGATGAATGTACTACACGTTCTTTTTTTTTATTAATAACTACCCGAATGGATAATTATAGTGTAATCGAACTCTAATTAGTCCAATTGAAGTCAGATTAGTACAATTGAACTCGTAGTACGATTGAAGTCAATTATAGTGTAATCGAACTCGAATTAGTCCAATTGAACTCCAATTAGTCCAATTGAAGTCAAATTAGTACAATTGAAGTCAATTATAGTATAATCGAACTAGAATTAGTCCAATTGAAGTCAAATTAGTACAATTGAAGTCAATTATGGTGTAATCGAACTCGAATTAGTTCAATTGAACTCAAATTAGTACAATTGACTTCAAATTAGTACAATTAAATCTAAACCCATCTCGTAGATTTAATCGTTTTCTCTTTCGATCTGCTAGCATCAGAGCTCTATATCATCTAAAAAGGTACCAAAATTATGTTCCTCTTTTGTCACTTTCTCAGGAATTTGTCAAATCCAAGCAAAAAGCAACAAAATAGAATCTTCATCCATAGATGCAGCAAACAAGGGAGGACTACCAGAAGACTTGGAAATAAACCTGAGCAAGATCATGCTATCAAATTCTGAAAATGAGGTCATCGAATTAAATGACAAAGATGTACGGCTCAGCGCAGAAGAATGTAACAAGAGTTTATTCGGAAAAATCATAGGAGATAGGAAAGCTCACCTTTCTGGCATCAAGAAGACGATGAGCATCATCTGGCAAATCCAGCACCCGGTTGAAGTCCGAGAACTGTAAACCAATTACTTCCAATTTATTTTTGGAAGTGTGGAAGATAAAAAGAAAGTGGCAGCTGGAGTGCACTGGATGTTCGAAAATAAGTACCTGATCCTAAAGGAATGGGAGGTTGGCCTAACATAGAAACATGAAGGCTTTTCAGAACTAAAACTATGGGTCCAGGTTCGAAACATCCCTCTTAATTGGCTTTGTTCAGAAGTGGGTCTGAAAATTGGGAGGTTATTTAAAAGAATATGGAATGTGGTAGTAGTGAAAGTTGGGGGAAGCAGGGGCAGGTTTCTAAGGTTACTTGTATATGTGGATGTCACTAAGCCTCTCTTACGAATAGCCAATGTGAAACTCCATGATCAACAAATGAGAGTGCTTTTTCAATATGAAAGACTCGTCAACCTCTGTTATTATTGTGGTGTTATTGGACATCTTGAAAGATCATGTGAGAGGAGAATGGAAGACATAGCAAACAACTCGTTCAATGAAAGGCAATTTGGAGAGTGGATGAAAGCACCAGAAGGCAACATGGGGCCGAACTCTACTTCCACTAGCATTCACCCCAGCAACTCCAAGGATTCTCCAGGACCAAATACAGAAAAACAACAAGGCAATGGGGAAAATGATCAACACATTCTCACATCTGGAAGTCAGAACCAATCACAAGAGATACATGATGCTGCAGAAGCTTCAAATATTGTGCTCAACCAAATACACACAATAAAATGATCTGTGAACCTGTGATCACTGAATCATCTTTAGCTCTCTACAATCTTAAAGAGGTGATTGTCTCTGATTGGACATGCTTTGAAGATATATCTGCAACCACTCAGATGCCTCAAGCAAAAACCACTTCATAGTCATCTCCTGTCAACAACAGTAATGATGAACATATGTTGGTTACTACTGGAACTACTGATCACACTAACCAAGGAGATAATCAACCAAATGCTATTAAAAAGCAAAGAAAAGGATGGAAAATAGACATGAATTCAGAATGCAGAACACAAAAAGAAGGGAAACAACCTCTTCTCTCTTCTTCAATTGACCCAAGAAAAAAAAAAGACAAAGGACTGAAGAACTCACAGGAGACTCAACAAAAGAACTCACACAACCAGCTCCAAAGAAATCCAAATACCAACTCTCTAAGTCAAAGGTGGAGGAAGTCAGCCTTAAATGGCCCCAATTCTCCCAATGAAGATGATGTTGTGGAACTGTAGAGGTCTGGATGGGCCCTCTACAGTCTCCCAGATAAAGGACTCAACAAGAGTTCACCATCCAGAGTTGATCTTCATTTCAGAAACAAAGAAAACGAAGGATTTTGTAAATACAGTATGCAAGAAAATTGGTTTTATGGACATATACCATGCAGTTGATCCAGCAGGGTTGAGTGATGGATTGCTTTTGATGTGGAGTAAAAATATCAAACTCAAGCAAATATTGGAGCATCCTTTATGTTTGGAAGTTGAGGTACAGAGTTCACCAGAGTATAGCTCCTTTTGGGCTATCTTTGTTTACCTCAGTACAGATAAAAGAATTAGAGAAGAGCAATGAACCATTCTTGAAGAAGACAGACTGAAATGGGGGGATAACTGAATAAGTGGGGGAGATTGGAACGCTATGCGTGACATCAGTGAAAAGAGAGGAGGAAGAACTAAATCAGAATCAGAACTTAAGGGGTTCAATGAGTTCATTTCAAGAATGTAAATGCAAGAAATTATTATGAAGGGCTACAACTACACTTGGGGAAATAATAGAGAATCTGAAGGTAACATTGAAGAAAAAATAGACCGAGTCTTTGGTTCATACAACTGGTTGTGCTCTTATAAAGATGCTCAAGTTAAAACCTTCTACAAAAGTGCTACAGACCATAGAATGCTTGTTCTATCTGATCAGATCAACCTCCCCAGACATAGAAGATTTTATTTTGATAGAAGGTGGCTAAGCATGGAAGGTATCAACGAAACAGTAATGAAGTCCTGGAATATCCCCATATGTGGCACTCCAATGTTCAAATTTTCAGAAAAAATAAAAGAGACAAGATTTGCTCTCTTAAGATGGAGTAGCTTTTTCCAAAATGAAAATGTAAAGATCAAGGTAGCAGAAAAACTTGAAGAGTTGAGCAAGATGGGGAATAATA